ACTTCCCACCCAAAGTTGACCCCTTTCTGCAGGCCTTCAAAGGGCATCGACAGTGAACGGGCCGAGAGTGTACAGCCGGAGGAACGGAGGAAGAGCTCACTGCCGATCCGTCATTGGCGGTGACACGAAGGGGAAACTCAAGGTTACGCTTTACTGTTTCCGCTTATGTGTGAAAACGTGTCACTGGAAAGGTCAGAGACGGACAGATGAACCACGGTGGCATCCGTAGAATTATTAAAACGGGACGATTGAGATTAAAACACCAAGCACGCGGAGAAACAAATGCATGAAATGAATGGAACGGAGGCATTACAAAATAACCCGTGCTGACAATTTTAGTTAAATACTTTACATGTGTTATAATTAGCCTCTGTTTTGGGTGGTGGCTGCTGTAATGAAACATTCCACGTTGCACTACTGTAAGAGAGGGCAGGGAGAGTTACGCCTGGACAAAGGGACGGAGTGTGTTTGAGGGCATTGGGGCTCAGCTTTCCTTTGAAGAAAGAAAAAAAAAGGGGGGGGGGGGAATTCTCCACATGCTCATCTTTCTGTCATCGCCTTCCCATTGTTTGGAAATGTCACATGGTCATGCAGCGAAGGTCAATAGTTGACTTTTAATCGCAGGTAAATTGAACGAGTGAGAAGTGCCGAGCGCGGAAGTCTTGGTTCGTCTCCAACAGTCGCCAGAAGACCAGCAGCACAAAAATACTTGTGTGATTTAGGTAAAAACGACGAGGATTGAGACAAATGCATATTTGTTTTTACATGCAATACGTCAAGTAAATGTATTCTACTTTTTGCTGTACGATATATAAAAGCAGCAGAAAGTGCTGAGACTCTAATGTTGCAGAAACCAAGTTTCTTTGCATAAATGACTTGCTCACTGCTGTCGAAGACATTTTTTTCTTACTTAATTCAGATTTACATTTGAATAAATTGTAAGTGCCCCTTGTGTGCAACGAAATGTTAATAAGCATTTGGTCACAAATCAACAGCTGCATAAACAATTTGCATCTGTGATCATGATTTGCATGTATAACAGCCGGTAAGGCAGACACACTATGTCTAGACTCCAGACCAGAATAGCTGTGTGAAGGTGGCCCGACTGCAGTCTTTCAAAGTAAAGAGAAAGGATACCTTATATAACCTCAACAGAAACAATCTCGTTAACAACTACCTGAGACCCAACCCTGCTTTGTGCAATACACCAACATTGTGTCTGTAGTGTCCAGCTGCCCAAGATCTCCAGGTGGGTGTGCATATCTCATAAAGAATGTTCAATGATTAACAGGGTGAACTCGGTCTTGTGTCGTTGTGTGTTGGATGACAGGAGGAGCAGAAGCATTGTACTACATCTGAAACCGTGTGCTGGTATGTGAGGATTTGCTGCTCCTCTGTTCTATATCATTGTCTCTGGGTTTTGGACTGTTTGTCAGATAAATCAATTTGTCAACTTGAACGCTTCACATTTCTTTGACATTTTGTTGCAGGAATGCTTTTACATGTTGGTTGCCAATAAGTGGCTGAATGAGAATACTAAACGTCATGACGCCGACTAGTCCGCCTTTAGCTTAGCGGTTACTTATTTTCTGCAATAATCCAAAATCCAATGGAAAACTCCCATTGACTTTTAGGTGAGAACCAGTGTGATGCTGATTTACGAGGTAGGTCTACAAGAATACATCATGCTTGCGGCACTCTAGTATATTGTGCACTGACTTGTGTCAACTTAAAAGCTGAACGTCAGCAAATACATGCCAGTCATATACAATATGTAAGGTACAGTATCACTTGCACTATGGTACATTTCAGCTTGTAGTGCTTTGATATGTTCAGGAATGTTACGAGCTGTACAATCAACATGAAAACTCCTCTTCAAAACATCCCGTTATCGGTCTTGTGATTTCTGAGGTGTTAAAAACCGTCCACAAGGAGAGTTTCCTGTCTCACTGAGTCCCGCCACAGTGTGCGGTTTATCATCACAACACCCCAGGGGATTGGACGAAAGCAGCCCTTCTACTAATGGACTGCTTTCTACTGCTAACCTGATTCAGTCAAACACACAGTGCTTGGCGGCAACCAAGCAGCCAATTCACTACCTGAATACCAAACAGGCTGGCCAATGAGTAGACAGCCTGTCAGGCCAAAACACTGACAGAAGCGAGGGACTGAGCGCGTCCCAGTGGCTCGGCAGTTGGCAGATTATTTTGAGCGACATACGAGGGTTGGATGCACTCGGTGTCGCAGACGACACCAAAAAAACAACATTCCACCACTTTGTCAAGACTGCAATAATGTCGACAGCTCTTCTGCAGATTAGTGTGATGCATATGAAACACTTCAGTTATCTTCCAGTAAATTCTTACTTCAAAAAGCTGCCAAGGGACATTTAACCTACATTTGCCATCCTATTAATATCCGTTCTGTTGGGATAAATAACCCACAAATCTTTCAAATGTATGACACTGCAAGAAATGTTGGTGTAACAATGTAATCAGATCTCAGCTCTAATGGCCACCTCAAACAACAACAAAGTCAGCCTCCAATGATGAATGACAGACAGGTGTGTTTCCTCTCATTGAACTGGGCGCTCTGCAAAAGTGACAATTATTGACTTATTAACTGGGACTTTGGTTAATGTGTGATACACCAGATTGGTATTGGCACCGATTCTGACCTCATGCAGTGGATCAGGTATCGGCTATGACACCAGAAATTCAATTAAATACTGTTTTTGCCAATTTTGTCATTCAAACGCTGTGTTATTACTGGGTCCTCTATTGTATTTTTGTATCACGTTGTGATTGTGTTTTCCTCAATACCGTCCAAGAAATGGTTTAATCCTAGTCCAACCATGTAAAACACTTAACTCTGTTTTGAAGTGTATTATTGTAGTGTATTATGTTACCTTACATAACATTCCACACAGTAAATAGAGATTTCAAATTTTGGGGAAAAACATTGGTAGTTAGTGTCGGCAGATACCCTGAACAGAATCAGTGCTGGAAAAGAAAAAGTTTGTTTGGTTCATCCTTAATGGCAGCACTCCGTAAAACACACAAAAACCGGACAGACGGACGGACAACCCAAAAACACAAAGCCTCTGGCCGCGGCTATCGCCGGTGCGGAGTCAGTCTGAACACAACAGACCAATTATCAGGACTCTACATTGGCATCCATTGTGTCAGATTTATTCCCGTTGATGTTTTCTCTCATTGTCTTCTGCATATGAATACATTTACTTATGAAACGCAAAGCTGGAACAAACATCTAGGGAATAAAAAAAAACTTGGTCACCTTTAAAAGCAGAATAAATCTTCATTCCCTTTCACTCAGTCTGAAGCACTTCTACCATTAACCACTCTGCACTCGCTCGCTATATTTCTCTGTGGAGTCATCTTTTTTTATTTCTTGTGATCTATGCAGTATGAACATCGCACAATTATCTTTAAAAACTAGAATTGCCTTCAGAGAAAGTAGAGGCTGAGCAGTTGAAGTCTTGATCTTCCACAGGAGTTTACCATCTATGAGACAAGACAACAGCAATGACTTTGTTCAGACAGTGGAGAGACTGTGTCAACAAATCTGACATCTGGCCATGTTAAACCCATCAGTGACAAGCGTTTCCCATTTCTATCATCATGAAGTCAGTATTATTAGCTCGGGTGAGTCAGGCAGCTTTGCAAAAGGGCACCGAGGGTGGGGGAACGTGAGAATAATGGAAAGGCAGGTCCTTCCCATTTTGATTGTTGCGGTAATCAACGGTGTCACATCAAGAGCGCATTAAGTCGCTAAATCCTCCTCCTGAATAATTGACTACATCTCCAGATACAAACGCGGCAGCCCCTCCGCCCATGACAGACATGGGATTCAGAAATGAGCAATTTATGTAACTTCAAGATCCGACAAGTTCCTATTTTTTCTAAATAATTAAATTTGTATCATGAAAGCTGCTTTAGAATAGTGAATGCACTCCACACCATGTTTTTCTTAAAGACAAGTTCATATCTGGGAAAAGAAAAACAGAAAACATGGCAGCTCTCTACCACACTTTCATTTCCTGCCACTGTGTTTGATTAAGAATAAATAAAGCTTACACTCCAGTCGGGTCATCAAGCTGTCTGGCATATTTATCATGTTCAGCTCCTGAAATGTAAAATAGTGGTGCTTGGGTTTGAGGCAAATCCTCACACAGATTCTTTTGAAATTCAAATCTTTTCTGGGGGCACATGTGGATATTCAGTTTCTAAGATCCCATCCTTCCCACTTCTTAAATTGTAGAGCAAACAACATCTATTTTGAAGAAAAGCTTCTGTTTGGACATCCAAGCATTGAAAACAGTAGCAGATACTTTGAGTTGTGCCACTCTGATGACAGATCCTGTCTGGATTGTGTGTCTTCAGGGCAATTGGGAGATTAATGTAGTAACAGTCTATAGTTTCTATAAGCTAATCCGTCCTCCTCCGTCACCCCTGTGTCCTCAGCCTCGCCCTGTTTCTCACAGCAGGAGGAAATACACCTTTTTTTATGGTCTGACCAGCTGAGTGAGGCTGAGGAAAGTACTGAGTGTGCCAGTAAAGCTGTCATACAGCTCTTGCCAAGCTGAATTAATCTTGTGTTTGCATTCAGTTGATGTAGATTCAGTGTGTTCTTACAGTAAAACCCCACCGTGGCAGACTCCGCCACAACTGGTGTGCAGTGTGCGCTTGTGGATGTGTGCGTTTTTTAGAGCGTCTGCTTTTATGTCTCTTATGCCCCGTTACAATCCCATAAAGCTGACAAACTACGCCGCACGCAACTTGTTTTATGACGTGCCGGCCGGGCAGCGTACTGTACCGAAGGGAGCTGCGTTTCTCCCCAGGAAACAAGGAAGCCAACGAGCTTTGACCCACTTCACGCTCCTCAGGCACAGCACAGAAAACCATAAAGAACTTCTGCAACGGATTAAACCCGACACTACGCCTCCGCGATGCGCGACAGCGCCAAGATGACGTGCTTACCTCGAGTCACACGTCAGATCCCACGTGGAGAATTCGTGATCGTCAGCGTTAGTGACCACCTTGGCCGTCGAGGGCCAGGCCGCGTGGCGCTTGATCGCCACCAGCTCATGGCCGGCCTCCCGCGTGGGGTCGCGGCTGCAGCAGGTACCCATCCTTCCACGATGAAAGGACCTCTTTGCTGTTTGATTAGAGACTCAAACCTCACTCGATTTAGCTCCTTTCCCCCAGACTTTCATCTCTTGTGAGTGTCGTTCTTCTACAGTGTCCTACAACCTTCCACTGCCGTCTCTCTCACCGCTGTTTCGTCTTCTCCCTCAAATTTTACTTTTAGGAGATTCTTGAGTCACAGGAAAGGATAAGAGCAAAGCAGATCGTTGCAGACATGATGATGCACTCTCTCTCTATTTCAGATGTTTAAACTTTTCTCTCCGTGTTCTCCTCTCAGTCTAAGGCTTGCAACTGTCCCAACAAGTATCATCCCTTCTTCCCTTGTCCTCTCCGTCTCCGACCTCCCCAGTGCTCCTCACATGATCTCTCTCTCTCTCTACGAGCTGCATTGCTAATGTTTTGGTCGCCTGGCCCTCCTCCTCACACTGACAGAAGTGTTACTGTCTCCCACAACCAGCCGGACTTTAAAGAGCCACAACATTGTATCGACCATCTTGTCGTTTCTCTCTCTCTCTCTCGCTGTTTAGCATCTGTGTCCCTCAATCCCTCCTTTGTGTCTGTCCTCCTTTGCTCAGTGTTGAACACAGACGGACGTTGCAAATCCCAGGCCTGTTCTTCTGGTCCACAGACAGCAGTCGGGCAGAGCGAGACGGGTTGGTCCTACGCGGTAGAGATGTGTGGGCTTGTCATGTGGAGGAATTAAGCCTTTTGGTCCACGTCTCCATTTGTAGGTTCTGCATTTTACACATTTTTACACTTATGAAGTTTTTGAAAGCACGCTAATGTGCTGCCACAGCACCTTTGATAGCGATGATCTGGTGCACCGATGTATACATCTAGAATTAAAACAGCCACTTTGCAAGATGGATTATTGCCTAGCTTTTGATCCCGTGCCGTTTATCGAATTTCAGAATTCTGCTTTTTATTTAGTTTGCCATTTCTTTTACTTACGGACCATTACAGCCTATTTTGTGGTTAAAAGAACGGACGACACTATGCCGTTTCATTGCACAAATCATGTTGATTTGTTTACTGCCACGCTTCCTTCACGAACTGTGAGCCGTGCTTACGCTCATCGCTCAGAGTGCGACTTTTATTCACAAGTGCTATTTTGAGAGCCTGATAAAAGAGGCCAATTTAACCAGGGAAAAATCAAAGAACTGAGGAAAATCTGAGGCTACAAGGGAGCAGTCAATGTTGTGCACAGAAGAGGTGACTTCAATCTCTTGGGGAGTGAGGCTGAGTAGACAAAGCACACTTGGCTGGAAGGGGAAAAATGAAATGCATCATGAAATACAGAAAGCTCTGAGGATTAACTTCATAGGCTCCGTGTGAGAGAAGATGGCATATGCTGAGACCCTCAAGAAAATCACCTAATCAACCGACCAGAGACCGGGGATACATTTCTTATTTCCTCTTCAAAGACAAAGTTATATGCTTACTTTAGAAAGGCTTTCTCACAAACAGACTATTCTGGCAACAGGAATAGACACAAAACATATATAGTTTTATACCAATAAGCCACAGGTTTAGTGGCAGTGCACACACCGTCGTAAAGTACCAGCTCTACCACTACAGCACCTCCAAACAATAACTGATCGGCCTTCCCGGTGAGCTGATGAAATTTGTCTTTGCACGATATCAACCAAATGATATTCTGAATGCATTATCTCAGGAACGCCTTGAGGGAATTTATTCAAATTTCACATCAGTAGTGTGAAGTTGTTATAATTAGCATATGACTTCTTGAGTTATGGCCAAAATTGTGTGTTTTGTGAAGTCACAGTGACCTTTGACCACCAAAATTCTACTCTTGTTAATCAGTGGCTCCAAGTGGACATTGTTGCACCTTCACGGCGGAGTGATGTGTTGATCCCAATGTGTTGAACTTCATGTCCCATCAGCCATTGCTGTCATCAGCAGAGGCAGGAAAATCCGTTCTCCAATGTTTGAATAAAAGTGCGTGGTGAGTGAGCGGCAGCGAGGGGTTCATGTTCTCTGAAATGTAAAATAACTGGTGATAAAGTACAGTGAGGGAAAGTAATGAGCAGGAAACCAAGTGCAGCTTTTCCCACTCAGTCAACAGAAACGCCGTCATGCTCACAAATCTGCTTTTTTGACATTTTAATAGACGGTACGCGAGTGAGAAACTCTCTGTGTGTACGTGCAGGAGTGACATTTATCCGAAGTACAATTTTTCACAGGAATTTGACTCCCAGAAACATTTAAAGTGGCCTATTCTTTTTCTTTGGGGGGGGGGTAAATGAGAGGAAGAGGCCACTCAGCTTTTGAACTATTACACATTGATTATGACGAAGACAAAAAGGAGAAAGAAAAATAGGACTTCATGATAAACCAAAGCTTAAAGACAACTAATAACTGTTGAGTTGTCATTTTAAAACTGTTCACCTTCACAAACAGAACCATTTCGCAGCGTTTCCTTTTCAATAATGCATTCCTCGGATGAGGCTGGAGGCCTCTTCATTATTTTCTGATTATCTTTTGTGAATGCGAGTGTTTGTCTCGTACCGAACAAATTCCTCTGTTCATCTATTTGTTCATGAAAATAAAATAAAAAGAGCAAGCAGTCTGCACTGCTTCAGATTCCCTCAGAGCATCACGATAAACATCAGCCTGACAGATCTGTGCTGTACTCAGATCCTGTGTGAGAGTCTGTGGATTAATACTGCAGCCTCGGGGCGAGGTTAAATATTCAAGACATCCATTTTCAGACTTGCTTCAAAAGGTGGTATTGAACACACACACACACACACACACACACACACACAGATGCAGAAATGACCGCAAAAGACTATCATCTTTGCATCTGTAACAGCGCGGGGAGAGGAAGACAAGAGGGAGAGATGCCTCCAAAAATACCACCTCGGTTTGAAGAGGATTAGACATGAGTGCTGAATTATCAGCTCCTCAGGAGGCGCATGGTTAGGACAAACATTCCTTGATGTGAACGAGGATCATCTGAAAGTCAGAACAAAAGCTCACGGCTCCTGAGGATGAGTACAACAAAATGCTTTTTATGTGGGCCCGCTTCCACGACCACAAAACCAAATTTGAACATGAAATAGAACCATTTCCAACCAACAGCACCCACAAATGAGAGGAGACAGAATAACTAACCGAACATGACTTTAAGTACCACAACACTTACAGCGCTGAGGTTAAGAGGAAAAGTCACCGACGCGATCCTCCATCCACGAGATGAAAATGAACGAACAGCTGAAAATCAGCCTGCCTACTCAGGAGAGATTAATCGAGTCCAAGTGGATGTAGGATTTATAGCACGATAATAAAAACTACAAATCAAACTGCATTAATTCCTTCACACACGCTTCCATCAGAAAAAAGCAGCCAAAACGAAGCTTCAAATTGTGATATGTCATAAAAAACATTTTGTTCTACATCTCATTTAAAATCTCGCCACAAACAAAGCATTTGCTCTAACCAGATACCTTAAAATACATTAAATTCTGCGCTCTTCAGCGCAACTGGGAAGCCATGATTGACTCGCCTGAGACCAACAGTCGCGTGACAAAAAATGTTGTGAAACTTGGACTGAACTGGTGAACACAGAGCATTGAAGGAGAGGCTGTAAGGAGATGTACAATAGATAGATAGATAGAGATATATATAGCACGCGGAGCCTCCAACACTTGTGGACACGTGGAAAAGTGTTGGATATAGGTTCTATTGTTTTTACATTTTTTGTAAAATAAGTTTCTTTTTTATGATTTATGGCATGGTAACGGTGTTGTAATGCACAAAAGACATTTTTCTTCTTCTACTTACTTCTAGTCTATTGTGCTGTTTCCATAGAGGTGCAGGACTTATACAGTGCAGTGAAAATCAAGGCCACGGAGAGTGAAATGTGACAACAGCAAAAAGAACGCTCTGAAACTGCTCGAGGTTCAGAGCGTTAAAGGAATAGTTCGACAGATTTGATGAAAATGCTTCTTTGCTTCCCTGCTTACTTTGATTGTGATTGGTAGTTGTCCCATCCCTTCATTCTAACTGGTTGTTTGTCTTTGCACCAACATCGCCAAGATAATTACCTGCACGTTCACGGCACCAGTAAACGCCACACTACAGCACATTTACACCCACAAACACCCAGAAGAATGGGCCATGATCACCACTGCATGTCACATAGACATCTGTTAATAATACCAACTGTTGTTTAAAAGTGGTTGTCAGCATGAAATTTACTGTAGTCCTATTTTGTCAAGTGTAGCTGAAATCCCTGTCTGGCATGAATTCCAAGATGCTTTATTACATTACGTGTGGAATAATAAAAGAGATATTAAGCACCATAGTGTTGCCTTAGATGAAGCTGGTAAAGATATGTATGAAATGGATGTCTGTGACTTTGTGGAGAGGGAATAAAAGAAGCCTTTCAAGCCGAGCATTTTCTCTTTTATCAGAGTTTGTCCGGTGTCATGAACCAATGAAATAGGAATGTGTTAAAGCACACACACACACTGAGCTGTTGATAAATCATTAGCCAGTGGTGATGCAGACTGAGACCTGTGGGGTTTCTTGAATAGAGTGAGTCAGCCATAAACACTGACTCACTGCTCTGAGCTCACTTCTCACACCTGACGTCCCTCCTGGAGACCTGCAGCTGCAGCTTTCAAAATTCAAATGAGTGTTTTTCTTTTTTTGTTCGGCGTTTTAGACGAGAAACTTTTTCAAAACTTACCCCGCACTTCTAAAACATTAATATACCGAAAGAACGACGCGTCTGCCCCACACTCACTGCAACTGAAGCACAGAATTGATTTTGTGTTGGACTAGGCTGTTTTGTTCCTTTATGAATAAAGCATAATGCTGAGTCAGGATCAATGAATATTCAGCTCTTTTTCTTGATATCTAATCAACATGGATTTAGGGAAATTGTACTTTATATGGTCTTTATTATCAGATAATTATCATCCGGCGATACAATGTCAAAACAAATCGTGACGAATGTCCATCAAAAGTTCCCAGAGCTCCAGAACGATGTCTTCAAATGGCACAAACCTCTTCTCGTTGACGTTTTCGGCTAACTCCGGCCTCCATCGTGGCTGCAAGAATCAAGCATGGCCTACTAAAGAATTGGAAGAAGGACCCACACACTCTTGACCTCCCAGAGAGAAACAGAAAAACACATGAAAGACGGAGTGGAGGTTGAGAGGTGAAGGTAGAGCGAGAGACAAAAAACCAGAGAAGAAGAGTTAAGGAGCACGACGGACCGAAATCAGCTGATCACATGGAGGCCGAGAGAGGAACAGTGAGAGAGACGCTGCCTCTTGGGAAGCTTCCTGGATTTGATGAAAATGTACCCGTCTCATTTCCAAAGTCATTGACTACAAAGAAAGAAGTCCTCATCCTCGAAACTAAAAAATCTCTCACCTTCAGAGGCAAAAGCAAACATCAAACATTCGCTCCACAAAAGAGTCGACATTCCTGCAGAGGGTGTTTGTTCTTTCGGCTTCATGCAGACCAAAGCGTGCAGAAACTATTAAACCAAGCCAAAGAAACCACAGCCGAGCTACGACAGCATCATCATTACACAGCTGTGATTTCTCAATTTGCCAAAACACCTGAAGAGTACTCCATTAACGGTACCCGACATTCCAGCTGTGCAGCCGGTGAGCGTTGATCAAACGAGACTTGATAGAGTTCAAAGGTTCAGTTTAAAAAAGAAAGAAAAAAGGCATTGTTTCAGTCACGTTCTTCTGAAAACATAATACAAACCTTACTAGTTACTAATTTACTCTCACAGTCTAAAGAGGCAGAAGCATGTTAAAGTAAACACGTGATATAACCCTGGCAGATGTTGCTGAAGTGAGCTTTCGGTAGCGAAAGCAGGTGTTTGAACGCAAATATCTGGAGGGAACCTCATTAAGTATGGACCACAGCCGGCGAAGACGACATCGGTTAGAAACGCCGTCCTTGGGCTGACATTTAGAAACAATCTTTAACTTTCCTAGTGCGCTGGAAGCAAACACAGGAAACTGGTTCGCACCTTCGACCAATGAAAACGACAGAAAAAAAAGAAGAAAAAAAAAGCTGTTGTTAACAAAAGCTTTCTCTTCCAGCCTTTTATTCGTCTGCTGGGGAACTGTTGGTTCTTTGGTTTTAGCCGCGGCAAAACAAAAGCCTCTTCTTCATCCGGGGACAATGAGCTTCAGACGGCGAGCACAAACCAACCCCGTGTTCCCACGCCTTCAACATGATCCGCCGGTTTTATTAGCAGGTTCACAAATATTATCCATCACGGTTGGGAAAACAACTTTTTTTGCTTTTAAAGTTCGTCCTTCGTTTCGTGTGAGCAAACGGCCACAAAGCAGCCATTCAGGTGGATCCTCTCGAACGCAGCGTGGCCTTCTCTGCAAACAACAATCTATATTTAGGTCCATTCATCGCTCTCCTCAAACGGGAAAGTTTCGAGAAATGAAAAACAGCCTTTAATACGTCAAACCTGCTCACATCCGTCAACATCTTACCGGGGAAACATGTTCTGTGACGCATCAGTGGATTTTTCGAACGGTTAGTCAAGGTTAACCGAGCACCGAGGAAGAACCAGAGTCGGCTTCTGTATTTCTTCAAAGATAAATGGGGAAAAAAAGGCTTTTTAACCAGGACTACGTTCTGTTAAAACAAATGAATCCCGCACTTTTTTGACAAAGATCCCGCCTTTTAAAGGTTTAACAAAGACATGTATTAAAAAAAGGAAACTACGCCAGTGGTCTTGATGGTATCTAGAGTCGGTATACGACAGAGCCTCAAAGGGTTTAAAGCTGCGAGGCCATACTCCTGACATTATCGTAAGCTTCTTGGAGATAAGCCTCTCTGTCACGGCTTGGTGATACCATCATTGTGCTTACGCTGCCGATCATGCAGAGCTCCAATCACTGCACAACCAATAACGGGGTTCCTCGCCAAGAGCAGCACCTCTGCAGAACTCATTCAGCGTCACGCTCATTCACTGGGAGCGGATTATAGACACTCTCTAAAAAATGTGTTTTTATTGAAGAATCAGAGGCAGGCTGATCCGATCATGTGATGGGTTCACTTTTTAAGAATTTGAATGATTCCCTGCTGTTATTTTATTAATCTTTTTTATCTTCCATCTTGAGTGATCCTTGATTCATTGTCTTCATATTTTATATCATCTATCAAATATATTAAACTTGTTTTGTAACATCTATGTTTGATGTTCTTGGCCAGTACACGTAAGTAAGTTCTCTTCATATAAT